CATGTTTTCACAGAACAAACAAGTAGCTTATCTTTTGAACACTGGTCTTGAGATTCTGGTGTCTTGTATGCTTTCGGAGTATCTGTATTCTTTCAGAGACCTGTCTTGTGTTGTTATTATCGATATTCAAGAAAAGGCTATGTGGCATGTGAAGTCTGTGTCATTGGAGGCACAGTTGGTTCATAAAGATGATTGTAGTTATTTTTGTTAAAGGAAATTTTTCAGTCTTTCCGTGTATGAGTTGGTTATGCAGTAACTTCAGTGTGGCCAGAGGCTCTTAACACTGAGCTTCTATCACTGGTTTAATTTGGGCCCTTCCAGAAACCTGATCTTTCACCTATTATTCTTTGTTAATAAAATGGTCAAAGGTAACTTAAAAGACCTACAAATACACCTCCCCTTTCAAATATAATAATGGTATTTTTCATTTGTGTGCTAGAGATGATACTCTCTGGAATATTCAGACAGGATGAACATTTTCTTAAGTCTCTGGATGGGATGTTTGCATGATGACTTGTGTAAGATGGTTCCAGAAATTTTTTTTGCTTTTAGCTAGTTTAGTTCACTTGAATGAGTTAAGAAGCAGCATGATAACCTTTAGTGATGAATGTAATACAGTAAAATTGTCCTGTTTCACAGAAATACAAAAGTATGTAATGCAGATAAAGAGCAAACTTTAAAATAACCTCTTTATGTATACGTACACATATGCTTACTTTTTCCTGACAAGCTCTTGAAGGCGTTACTGTTTGAGAACATCCACACTTTGTGGGTACTGGAATGAATTGGCATTTTCTTGTTGACAATGAGGATGAGAATATGCATTTGTAACTTAATAACGTAGTACCCAGAGCATTATGACCAACCAAGAGAAGGTAGACAAGAAGGGAAACTTTACAGGTGTGTGATCTGTGATAATAGAGCTCTACTGTTCATGGTTGGTTTATAATTTTAAAAGGCAGATTTATTTATTAAGAAAAGCTGTGTCCCAGTAGTCCAGAAATGCTCCTTAAGGAAAATCATTAATGCTTGCCCATCTTCATTTATACCTTATTACCTTCACTTAAAATACATGTAGTTACCTTATACCAATACCATACACAAATACAGTGAAAACAACTAGGGTTGTAGCCACAGTTTCGGTGCCCAGAGGTGAGGTATGGCTGCAACCTTATCTGAGAATGCTGGGAGGCATGTGAATATACCTCAAGTGACAGGTCAGCTGATGCTTCTGGGAGGGGTGTTAAATCTGAACCTGCCAAACTACTGTGCTTTGTTGAGTTGGGAGCAATGCTAGGCTTTTACAGAAGCAGAAGATGGTTGAGGTTGGAAGGGTCATCTTGTTTAACCTGCCTCAGCTCAAGCAAGGTCGCCTAAAGCAGGTTTCCTGGGACCGTGTTTAGGCTGGGGTTTTTTAATGTATCCAAAGATGGAGAGTCCAGGACCTTGTTGACTGCCTGTTCGGTCACCCTCACAGTAAAAAAGTGTTTCCTACTGTTCAGGGGGACCTTGTGTTTCAGTTTGTGCTCACTGGGCACCACTGAAAGGAGCCTGGCTCTGTCCTCTTTGCATCACCCTTCAGGTATTTATACATGATGACAATCCCCTGAGTCCTGAGCCTTCTCTTCTCCAGGCTGAACAGTCACAGCTTTCTCAGTCCCTGGGTCATCTTGGTGACCCTTTACTAGACCATCTTGAGTCTCTCTTTCACTAGAGAGCCCATAACTGGCTCTGGACACCAGGGCTGAGCAGAGGGGCAGGATAACCTCCCTCAGCCTCCTGACAACGTTCCTCCTAAAGCAGCAGAGGATACTATTGGCCTTCTTTGCCACAAAGGCACACTGCTGGCTCAAATTCAACTTAGTGTCCGCCAGGAATCCTAGCTCATTTTCTGCCGCGCTGCTTTCCAGCTATTTGGCTTCCAGCATATATTGGTGCCTTGGGTTGTTCCTCTCCAGGCACAGGACTTTGTACTTCCCTTTGTTGAACTTCACGAAGTTCTCCAGCCTGTCAAGGTCCCTCTGGATGGCAGCACAACTCTCTGTTGTATCGTGAGCAAACTTGTGGAGGGTACGCTCTGCCCCATCATCCAGATCATAAGTGAAGCTGTTGAACAGTGCTGGACCCATCACCGACTGCCTGGGGTGCAACACTAATTACTGGCCTCCAACTAGGCTTCATGCCACTGGTCACTGCCCTCTGGGCCAGCCATTCAGACATTTTTCAGTCCACCTCACTGTCTGCTCATCCAGCTCATACATCAACAGCTTGACTATGAAACTCTTATGGGAGACAGTGCTAAAAGCCTCACTGATGTCTCTGTAGACAATATCCACTGCTCTTCCCTCATCTACCAAATAACCACCTCATTGTGGAAGGTTGTCAGGTTGGTTTTGAAAGTGATATTGCTGTGGAGATTAATTATTACGGAGTTTTCAAGGGCTGGTGTATTTTACTCTCTTGATATATGTAGTGAGTGCATGTTTCTGTTTCTCTTCAGGAATTTTGTGAATACTTTTATTCAGTTTAAGAAGCCTATCATTGTAGCAGTAAATGGCCCAGCCATTGGACTTGGAGCGTCTATATTGCCTCTGTGTGACGTGGTTTGGGCTAACGAGAAGGCTTGGTTTCAGACACCATACACTACTTTTGGACAAAGTCCAGATGGATGTTCATCCCTTACATTCCCTCGGATAATGGGCCTGGCTTCTGTAAGTAGCTTGCAGGGTAGGGGCCGACAGCTTCACAGTTCAGTTGTGATAATTTATCCAGCGTGATTTCAAGACTTTTTGCCTTTGCTGTGTTGTCTTTTTCTTAGTTTTTTTTTCTTTCTCTCATGAAAACCTTTCATGAGAAACCACTCTTTATAGCTTCTCTGCTCCATGCTCTTACAAGCTAGTCTTCACCTGCATGCACGGAACAGAAAGAAGGTGTGGGACTAAATCCCACATCAGGGGCACCTTTAACCCTGATGGTGTGGGAAGGGTTATGTCCTGTATACCAAGACACACCTTCCCTGCCTATGCCTCTGAAGATCAGCCAGCAGTGTCTTGTGTTCAGCACAGCATCAGAGTGTAGCAGAGAACGGGCTGCTCTGCCCTCGGTGTCGTTACATGGCAGAGCACTGTGTCACCACCCAGCAGCAGTCTTACGCTAGTATGCAAAATAAGTATTTCAGCTTCCCTGCACCCGTAACAAAAAAGCTATTTAAAAACCTCTTACCTACATTATTTTCATGTTCCTTAGTGTTTTTCATGCTGTGTTCTTTGAAAACTTAGACCCACGTCACATTCCAGTTTGACCAGTATGAAACAAGTGCTCGTAGCTATACCTCTTTTTCCAAATTTGCTGTTTATTGTAAAAGCCAGTTTTTTCCCTGTAGGTATTTATTGATTTAAAAATATAGATTTCAATATACTGAAACACCACTTTGATCAGATCTAATGACTAATTGTGTAATGTCTGGATTTAGTTTTTAGAAGAGAATAGAAAAGGTAACTGAAATAGATTAACAGTTATAAGAGTATCTTTAATATTTTAGCATGTTTCAAACTACTGATTGTTCCTTTCCCTTTTTATTTGGCCATCCATCTGCTCATCCATCCATTCCATCCATCCTCGTCCTTTAGAGACTTGTGGTTGTTACTTTTAATTTCTTTAGAAGTTGTACGAAAAACACAAGAAGCTCTTCCCTAGTATACTCTTCCATGTGTGTTTGTGAATGCTTTCATTTTTAAATATAAAGATTTAAACTGAAAGCTTCCAGTGCTAACAATTCCATAATGTTCAGTGCAGAAGGGGAGAAAAAAAATCCACTGTTTTCATACTATCCCTGACCCTCTGCAGTATAGCAACGTTGGTGCTGTATGGGACAAAATTGAACTTTACTCAGCAGATTTCATGAAATATGTTCACAATCCATACTGAAGACTTTGATAAAGCAGCATGCTTTTCATCTCTAAAAGGGAGGAGAGAAGTCAGCAGAAAGATGTTATGAGTGAGATGCAAAACATTCAGGGGGGAAAAAATTAAAATATCATACAAAAGAAAGAATTAAACGCTCTGTATGCATCATAAAATTTTCTACAAATGTATCAATTCAGCAATATTAACTCTTGTAAGTCAGATTCAGTGCAATGTTGTTAGCAGCAGCAGCTATGTAAAAATCTTCAATTGCAAGATTGCTGGAAATATTTTTCCTGTGGGATCAGTCTTGGCTAGTGAACAGGTCTATCATGGATAGTATTTTTCACAGAACACATTCAACAGCAGTCTTATTGCAGGAAATCTGAAGCCCAAATCTTAGAATTCAAAACTGATACTGCGTATTGGGAATACCAAGAATTTTAGAAGTGTTCTCAAATTTAGCTTTTATGTATGAAAATAATCTGCAGTAGAGATTAAGGTGACATCTGTATGGAGAGATATGCTATTGTGTGTTTGCTGTGGAGTTCTTGCTCTGGTTGTCTGGTCTGGGTATAGAGCACAGGAGCTGTGTGATCAAGCATCACACACTGGGTTTCCCTGTCAGTCCCCAGTATGCTTGGCAGTATTACTTGTGCTTTTCTGTCAGTCATGAGGGGTACACGTTTCCATAGTGCCTGTAATCCACATCAGAGCCAGGATCTCGGGTTTTACAGACACCAGCTGTCACCTGATCATAGTGCAAGAGAACTGAGATGCTCATGGCCCCAGTGCCTGTGGCCTTGCACGAAAGGTCCCTGGTGAGCCTCAAAGCCCTCACTGTGAAAGAGAGATGAGAGGAAGTTCCTCTGTGGAAGGAGAAAGACAGACTGGGTAGAAAATGAAGGTTTCTAATGAGACTCTTATGTTAGTGAAATATTTTTATCAACCTCATTTCTATTGCTATATTATTACCTTTCTTGGAAAGTAACCACAAGTGTGGTAATTTTTACAGCAGGTACAAGGCGTGATTATATGGTTAAAGCTTGTATAGCAGCTTTATGGGTCTCCAGCATATATTGTGTATAGATCAGAAGTGAAGATGCCAAAGCAAGACATTTCCCTTCAAAACCTGTTAAGTGAGAATATTAATGGGAATGCTCATTTTGTGTGAGGCTTTATGCTAATATTGTGTTACAGATGGCAGAAATAAGATAACTGCACCATTCTCACTTAAGTTCTTCCATGTTCAGAAGAATTCAGCAGTTGCCACTTAGTTTTAGGAAAAAAATTATCAAGGTTTTCTAGCATTAATTTTTATCCATGCTGCCAAAGATACATGTGAAGAATATGTAGGTCTGACCAAATGACTTAAATTTTTGCCTTTCCTAATTACTATTTAGACTGACTTCACGTTTTGATCTTTGATATAAACATTAAGTATTTTTCAAAATTATTTTGAAAGAATATTCACATCTGCACATCTGCTTAGGAAAAAGGATATCTCTTTTTAGACAAGCTTGTGTACATCACTGATTTTTAGCTAGTGTTCCAGGTTATTATTATTCACATATATTCTGGAAAATTAGAGGGAATGGTTAACGAACCTTTATATTTAATTTTGCATTCACAGAAGGTAGAACTATAGGAGTATAGAATTTGATCATAGTGCAAGAGATTTGGGGTTTTTATAAACTAATATGTGTGAATCACAGCTTTCTGTATTAAGTATGAGAGATGTGCTGATGATAAATTTTAAGGAAGGAAATGCCGGTAGAAGCCAGATTTTGTATTTCATTAGAAAGGGGCAAGTAATAGACTGCAGATATTAGACTTCAGATTGCTTCATCTGTAAAATGTCAACACCCACAGTAAATAGATAATTTGAGGTCCTTAATTGAAAGTTGCTGAAATAATTGCCAAAACTTCCAGTATTAGAAAACATTTAAAACCTCCAAATTTTGCCCTCAAGTTTGGGTGTTTCATAGCAGCCTTATTTCCTATATTTCAAGAGTCCAGTAATGGGTTTGTCATACTCTTCAGTGCAAATAAGTCATTAAGAAACAGTAAAACTGATTCTTTTTTTTCTTGAGGTTTACTATTACTCTGACTTTTTAGTTTCCACTGGCTGTTTCCATGCAGATGTCACTGCAAACAAAGTTTAACTATGTAAGAAACTTTACTAAAGGTAGAATTAAAGCGGTTGTAGGACAAAGCTTTAATGGGGAAATTAGTAAATAGGGAAGTGCACAATAATTACAAATCAAAAATATTTACAGAACTGGAGACCACCTTGTTGCATAGAATGTAGTAGTCAGTTCTGTACCTTTAAACTATGTGCAAGACCTTTTAAATACTGTTGGTTTTTAATAAGACTGCTATATAAGATTTCGAAAGGATTTATCAGTTCAATGTTGAACTTCTGAAGAAGATGTGAATGTCTATTTTCTACGAATTTGTTCAGAAATTGGCATACCTTATTATGAAGGGCAAGCTGATGTATTCTTTGTTTTACAAATTTGCCAGGCATTAAAACCTATTACCACATATACAGGTAACCAAGTCAGCAATACTGCAAGAAAGCCAGAGTTAACAAACATTCACAGCCAGGAAATAACAAAAGATATTTTCACATTTAACCCTTAATCATAGACCTCCATATTTTAATAACTACTGACATAGTACTAGTCAACAACATGGACCAACTATCTGTAGGCCAGTCTTTCTCTTTTGTAATTAAAACTTGGAAGAGCTATAGTAAAAACTATTTCAAGTAGTGCAGGCATTTTTCTTGTTTGTTTCAAACATTTTTCCTTTAATGAGTTTTGTCTCATTACATTTCATACCAGAAGTAACTTTTTATCCCTTCAGGCCAATGAAATGTTGTTCAGTGGAAGGAAGTTGACGGCGCAGGAAGCTTGTGCCAAAGGACTCGTCTCTCAAGTGTTTTGGCCGGGAACATTCACACAAGAAGTAATGGTTCGAATTAAAGAACTTGTCACATGTCATTCAGTTGTAAGTTTCCTTTATTTTCTTACATTTTTATGATTAGATGAATAAAAATTACTCCAAGTATTATTAGACTGCATCGTTTTGTCCTCCAAAAACAAAAGAGAACATTTTCATGAAACAAGGACTGTATTATAGTATAGCAATGGTTTTTGACATATTTTTATGTATCTTTCTGTTTCTGGGGGTTTTAGTTGTTTGGTTTTTTTTTAAATTTATATCTAACTCTTCTTAACCATGATGTACTCTGGCATATAATAAAGGGCATAAACCAGCATTGGATTTTTTTATAATATAATTTGGTTTTAACATAGTTGCTTAAGTCCAACTTACTCTAACCAACAATGTGAACAGTTGCCCTAATATCTCCACAGAAACACAGAAATCTTGAATTGTCTTGAGTTGTAATTTAAATTACCATGGAAATGTCTTTGACATTTTGTTTAACTTAGTTTTATGAGTAACACCTAGTGCAGTCATGGTTGTGTGCACTACTGGCAGTTGCACAAGACAGCTAAAACTGCCACTATTTGATGCTTTTTTGCAAGAAAAGGTTTAGTACAAAATAACTGTTCTGTGTGTTCTGTGCATTAGAAATGCTGGATTTTAAAGCAAGTTAAAAGTTTTCTAAATAGAAAAGCAGATGAGATTTTTTTCAGTGTATCTTAAGTGCTCAAAAAATTCAAGATCTGCCTAGTTATTAAAACAGTACTGAATAATAGTGTTATGTGCGTACCAAAATGGACTTGGAGTTTTCCCTAGTTATAAGACCATATTATTATTATTTTATTGTTTTTGTTATTTCCACATTTTCCTGCACTTTTAAATTGTGCTGGTATAAGGTAAAGGAAATTTTGTGTGATGCTACATGAAAGACTATGAGAAATGTTTCTTATAGTATGCCCATGAATTGATAATCAACTTCTGGATCCGTGCATATAACCTGTAAGTGCATGTGTTGCTTAGTTCTCATGTAATGCTAACCCAACTCCCCTTTTTTATTTTTGGCCTAGGTACTTGAAGAATCCAAAGCTTTAGTACGTAACATCATGAAGGTGGAGTTGGAACAAGCAAACGAAAAGGAGTGCGAAGTTTTGAAGAAAATCTGGGGCTCAGCACAAGGGATGGACTCAATGTTAAAATATCTGCAGAACAGAATCGATGAGTTCTGATGAGATGCCCATTGACACTGGAATTGTATTTCTTGGACATCAGGGCAAACAAAATATGCCCATTTTAAAAAAAAAAAAACCTATATAAACTAACCCCTTGTTCAACTTGGGAACAGGAGTGGACATACACACCCCCCCCCCCTTTTATTGTCAAGGGGTTTAAAAGTACTGTATCACTTAAATTTGAACAAAACTCCTTTTTCCCTGATTGTTACATGCAGATATATATACACACACACAAGTGTATGTGTGTGCATATATATATGTCTTTTATATATATATAAATGTAATATGTGTGTGAGAGCGTGTACGTAGACACACACACACAAGCTAAAAAATGATAGAGTGCACTACCAAACATCTCTTTAAAAGCTCTAGTTTTTGTTATCTTTGGCTAGTACTGTATCAAATAGAGAATTAATTAAAAAGTGAATGGTGTTGCATTATTTTCTGTGTGGCAGGGAAGTCTGGAATAATGCTTTTCTTTTTCATGAGAATACAGAATTGAAACGGGTATTAGCCAGCCCTTACTTTCTCTGCCCAATGAGTCAGCTAAGATACAAGCTGTTGTCTCAGAAGAAGGTTGAAATACCTCAAGTAACGGAACATTCTGAAATTTTGGGGAACTAGACCCTATTATGGTTAAATCACACATATCCCCAAAAAGAGAGTGTGCTCAGGATGATTGCTAAGAAAACACTCTGTCCTTTTTTGGGAGGGAGGTATAGAGGGGTGGGAGGAAGGGGGCAGGAATATGTTTGATTCTTACCCAGACAGCATGAAGAAACCACTGTCTCTTAGGGAAGGGGAATGAGGGAAAGTGGGAGGGAAACGGAAGGGGAAAGGAAAAAAAAAACACAACACAAAAAAGCTCGTTTTGCAGTATTAGTGAATCACTGAATATCTTATGTATGAATATCCTAAGTTATAAGTTAGTTTTAGTGGGTTTTTAAAAAGCCTCTCTGGGTTTGTTTTTGTTTTGTTTTTTTTTTTGGTTTGTGGGGGGGTTTTTTGTTTGTTTTTTTTTTTTGTTTCTTTGTTTTGTTTTTTTTAATAACTACATAAGTGCTTCTGTTGCTGGGTGAGAGTACTACTTTATATACAGTTTGGGTTTTGTTTTTGGTTCTTTTTTTTCCTATTTGCTGGTTTAATTGATGTATTACACCAAAAATGCATTTTATGTTCATAAATTTTAGTTTCACTTAGAATATATTATTTAATAAGTTAAAATTCTTTTGGCACACTATTAAGTAAAAAAACAAAAAACCTTTTAAAAAAACTACCTTATATTAGATGTTTAATGTTCTTTGTCTATGCTTTTTTATTATTTGAAATATACACTATATGCAGTATGGTGTAAAAGAGTGCCCTGTGTAAATAGACCTATTTTGCATTCCTTTCAGGAGTGGTTATTGATTCCTGACTGCAGATATCTATTATTACTTGGGTATCTGTGCTTGCAATCTTATTGAATGTATTATGAAGAATGAAAATGAAATCAAACCTTATTTTTGTACAGTTTTGAAGTTTTTACTTGGAACTGACCCACCTCCCCTTCCCAGTGGAGAGCTGTACAGTGTGTAAATCTGCCTTTACCTTGGATTGGTACAGTATTTTTGCATCTGTGGGACCTACTTCTTTGTTCTAGTAGTTTGAACTATATATAAACTGTACAATCTGTAAAGTTTTTATAGAATAAATATTCAGCTGTGAAAACTGGTTAAATAAAACTAATATTTCTTAACACATTTTAAATGTGGTTCTCTCATAGAGTTGTCTTTTTCAGAGACATTTTCATTCTGATTTTAAAGTAAAAGGTGCTGAAACAAATCTAGTAAATTAGAGGCTTCAATATTTATGTGGGGTTTTTTTAAAAGCTCTTAATTTCCGTAAAATTAAAACATTAGTTTATAGCTGCAAATTACATAGACATTTTCTCTTACAGGATGTAGACGGGAAAGAAGACATAGAAAGCAATTCTAATTTTAATTATTTTGTTACAGTTCCAAAAGAAATGTAAATGTTTCTTTGCAATCTCTTAAAAATGGGTCATTTTCCCTACAATGCTGCGTTTAGGTTAAAATTCCTCAGTTGAATTTGATTTTATTGAAAGGGAGAAGGAAAGGTACTTTTGCCTACAGTTCTGTAATATTAAACCTTTTGGAGTTTGACTCTAATTTATATAAAGATCCCTTTTCTTGCACCTATAAAGGCATAGACTCCATCTGTGTCATCTCGGGAATTGTTTATGCTTTCCTTGAACCATGAAAGAACTTCGGGTCCAGCCTTCTGTTACATTGAAGATATTTGAATTGTGCATTGAAGGTACAATTGAAGGTACAGGCAATTCAACTGAAAAAATAATTCTACTTGCTTCATTTTTTTTGGTGTGTGTGTTACTATCAGTCAGGCTGTTACGCTGCTTACAGTTTGCCCGATAAGATGGGAGTAAGTTGGTGACTATGTAAATTCCTGTCTTTGACTGGAAAAAGTCCTTAGTTCAGGCCCATTCCTGTACACTGTCAGTGTCACTGTGCAGTTGCCCTAACTTTACATTAAAAGCAGTAACTAACTTGACACTATTAGCAAATTGTGTTCTGAATTAAAAATGTCTAGCTTTTGTCTATATACTGGACTGCAGGGATACTGTTTCATCAGGAAAATACTGTTCCATTCTTTCCAGTATAGGTGAGTATCTTTCCATGTGAGTGAAGGTTTACAGTTCTCTGAAATGGGTAACATTCCAGGCACTAGCAACCACAGCGAATTGACAAGCACTGGCAACTGGGTTGCACTAAGGCCATAGAGTATGCATTCCACACTGAAGTTCTATCACATTCAAGTTCATTTTTGGAAGAAAATAAGAGAAATTTTCTCCTGATTAGGAAATGGTACCAGAGAGACACATGGGTTGAATGTACTTGGAGCTGTTTGAAAGCCACTTATGTGCCTTAATCCTACCTTCTGCTGGTATGTTACTTTCAGCAAAAATAGGAAGCAGAGCGAAGTCTGAACTCTGGGTAAGATAACCTACAATAAAAGGTGTTTTGGGGTAATTTGAAGGTCTAAACCCACCTGTAAATTTTTTCTGTGTTCAAACTTCGTAATTTGTATGAATCCAGGATTTGAAACAGTTTACTTGAGCAAGTCCTTCACTGGATTGCTGACATTGCTAAAAGACACTTACACTTCTCTGTCCTTCAGAAGCTTCACCATTATCATTCTGGAAAACAGGTTCGGGGAATTAAATTACTTTTTTAGATGGGAATAATTTCTTAAAGTCAAGCATACATAATAGAAAAATAATATTATACATAATATTAATAACAATAATACATAGTACTGAGCTATAAACTACTTAACTTTACACAGATATAGTTCATACTTTACCCAAATAGTAGATAAAATAGGACTGCAAACAGCTACGGAACGAGGCAGCAAACAAAACATTTCTGGCCAAAGGGACAGAAAAACTTCCTTCAATAAATGGAGCCTATACTCTGCCTAGGTTTGTTGGTAGAGGTTAAGGCACTGTCACATTCATCTGGGACATTACAAGTATGCTTCTGAAGAGAGCAGGAGGGAGGAGATGCCTCAACTCATTTACAGTTTGCCACATGATTTTCCATCCTGAAGAACTGCCAGTAGCTGTCAACATCGTCTGTCTTACAGAGCTTGTAGCAGAGTCCAAGTTGGCAACCTTCAGTCCTGCAGCAGGGGAGCTCAGTTATACTGAAGATGGCATGTTGGTGAATTTGCCTTTCCAAGGAAAGAAGGATCAGGAGGAGAGCCCCGGTATAGCACAAGATCACCATGGTCCTGCTTTGTACAGCCCCTCAGATTTCTCTAGAAAATACTTCGCTCACAGGTCTCAACATTTTTTTTTCTCACTCGTGAGACTGGCAGACTAAATCACACACAAATATAGTTACCTCTTGAGGAACTCACAGGATGAAAAGTGGATTGATGTGCATAGATTTTGAAATAAAATACAAAATGAGAAGATGGGTATGGAATTCCTGTTCTCATCCCTCCTGCACAGGGAAAAATACAACAAATAAGGGGAATTAGAAACCACCAAAAAACAGCATGTAAGAAGTCAAAGGAGCTGCAGGAAGAAATAAAGGAATAGCAGATATTGTCCCTGAAGTCTTCATTCCTACCGTGCTCAGTTCTGGAAGAGCTACAATTGACAAGAACACCAGATGGACATGGACCTGTTCCATATAGTTTGGAAGACATTATCAGTACTTCTGCCTAAACTCACAGAGACTACAAGTCTCATGTCTGCAGGCCCTGGCCTTACAGGGGACTTCATCCACCCTGATATCTCCTGGAAGGGCATCTCAGGGGAAATCTCAGCAATATACATAAACACTCACTGGCAGGGTGCAAAGAAAATTGAGCCAGGCTCTCCTCAGCGATGCCCAGTGACGGGACGGGGGCAGTGGGCACACACTGAAACACAGAAGGTTCCCTCTGAACATCAGGAAACACGTCATTACCGTCAGGGTGACTGAGCACTGGCATAGGTTGCCTAGAGAGGTTGTGGAGTCTTCATCCTTGGAGATACTCAAACTTTTGAACATGGTCCTGGGTAGACAGCTCTTGGTGGTCCTGCTTGAGCAGCAGTGGGTGCGACCAGATGACTGCTAGAGGTCCCTTCCAACTTCCACCATGCTGTTAAAAAAAACCCCAACAAACAAACAAACAAAAACAACTTGCATTCATTTTCCAGGTTTCCAGGCGTCATCCACAAACTACTCCTATGGCTGGGACTGTAGGCTCCTCAAGCTCTGCAGCCTTTAGTGAGCTTTTTGTGCTGGATGACACCAAATCATCCAGAACAAAGTACAGCTCAACTAGTGTTTCAGATAAAACAAGGTTAAAATTTACCCTGCCTTGAAAAAGCATAAAGAAAATCATTAATGCAAAGAATAAGAATTTGTTTCTTCGAGGATAAACAGGATTGCAGTACTTAACCAAAACAAATTCATGCCTTATACAGTACCTGAAACATTGCTTTGGCCTCAGCAGCTCCTTGAAATTTTGAATTTTTTTGCAAGATGTGCTTCAATCAAGTGGAACAGTAACCCAGCCACTGGCATTCATGCTTGAAACATAACCACATGGACTAGCCAAGAAGACAGCACAGCGTGAGCCTTTAGGTCCAGCGTAACACGTCTGTACCATATCATCTGGATATAACTTACATAATTGCTTCGGAGTGTGCATTTAGTAAGTCTGCAGGGTGAGAAGTCAAGTTATAATGCTGTAATAAACCAGTTATTTCCCAGATGCTGTTTTTCCAGGAGTCATAACCCACCTCCAGCAAAATGTTCTGTAAAACTGTACCATTTGTCTCAGTAGAAAAAGGCACTCACTGAGGCCAACCTCAAAGTCATGTCCTGAGTAAGCTGGCTGCCGACAGTAGCAGCTTCTGTGAAATACAGATGCTGCTCCTTACAACTATGAAGTTTTTGGAATTCACTGAGTTTGTCAAGTTGGACCGGGATCTTTAACTAAAGAGTATTATTAAAAAACCAAAACAAACCCAAACCCACCTGCTATGCCAGGAATAACTAAGACAAACGCTTCTACAGGAATCATGCTTGCACTACGTGATGTAAAGTAAAAATGACAAAATATTGTAGTTTTTTTTTTCCATGGTCAAATATCAAAAGACAGACACATCCCCATATTTCTTCCCTTTTCTCCACAATCACACCCCCACCCCTCCTGCCTTTATGCTCAGAAAGAGTGGTGGGGATTTAAACTGGAAACCTGATAAATCCAGAATTTACATGCTGGAAGCATTATTTTGGATCTAAATAACAGTTAACAAAATTAAAACAATTCAAAGCTGGGAGGTTTTGAACTGGATGACCCCTTGAAATAAAGGGATCAAAATTAGAAAACAAAGGAAGCCACCATGGCCATTAAAAGTTTTTCTGCTCATGCTTCTTGGTAGGCTTCTCAGGCCCAATCATGTGAAAACAGGAGTCTGCAAACTTAACTTTGTGATCTCAAGAGCTGTGTAACACCTACAGAAGTATTTCTGAAGACAGTATTATGCTGTGTCTTGAAATACTTGAAGATACACTTTCATTTTTGAATGTTTCTGAAAAAATTACATGTTCATTCATGCTGGCAGAAAATTGTAATCTGGATAGAAATTAAACAAATCTGTGCATCCAGGGGAAGAAAAAGACAAAGGTCAGGTCTTGAAATCAATTTTCTTGAAGAAAAATAAACCAAAACTGCCAGTCAGATGGAGGAACTGGGGCAACTATTCCATAATCTCTTGGACATTTTGGATAATCTCTTTCAGCCCATAAGAACAGATTTCGTTTCCCTTAGAACCATAAACATCTCAAGTCATTGATATTAGTCTGTGGGGCAGCAGAATTAGTTCTGATTCTTTCAGCAGAAGATGTTTGCAAATTGTTAGTCCTAATGATGTAAGGCAGGAAATTTGGAGACCTCATACAACCCAGCTCTCAGGTAGAATAAACACTTAAAAAATAATTCACATCCCTGATGCTTCTGAAAGGTCCTGGCAGAAGATAGACTATTGCACTTAATACTTTAAAAAAATGCAGTCCCGAGGTCTACAGTTCAGGTTCCCCTACAGTGGATACCCCCAACATCACACCAACCATTCAGATGAGGACAAATGTAATTTTTCATATTCATGCAATTATTACATGCTGCTACAGATTTAGGCATCATAACTCAGCAAACAGGTTTTTTAC